TTTGATTGGTAAGAAGGCACGAAAGCCAAAGGAGGCAAAGCCACCCCGTAGGGAAGTGAGAGTCACAAAATGTGGAAACTGATGAGATGGTAACAGAAGTTGACCTGAGATGGTCTTCCAAAGGGTTGGCTTTTCTAGCTCTGGGGGTAATTTATAACATTTGGGACGGGAATACTCATTGCCTTCTGCAGTCTTCCAGTGTGAGGTGATGTGCACAACGCAGGGAAGGGAATAGGAACAAGACTGGTAAGGAAATAGCCAGGCTGTGGCTGCTGGTGAAAGAACCAGCCAAGTCCTGGGCATCCATGCTTGTTTGCAGGACGGTTGGACTAGATGACCTTTAAAGGTCCCTTCCAACCCAAACCATTCTGTGATCCTACGATCCCTCTTTGTTCCTGCAGCACAGGATCTGTGCAGGCAGCAGAGAGGCAAGGTGGGGTCAGCAGCCCATGGAGTGGGGTAAAAGATGTCCTTGTTATGAGGATTTAAACTGGAGAGCCTGGCTGCTGAGTATGTGTTAGCAAATGGAAGCACAAGCAGGCCAGGATGGTAACAGGGGTTTGGGAAGACAAGATACCCAGCATTCATGTGCCATAGGTTCAAACTCCTCTGGAGCAAGGAATGGTTAAGTACAAACAACCTGAAAACCAGCTCCGATCAACAAATGTCAAGCCTGGGGAGCTGGCACTATTAACACTTAAAGCGCCTTGGGCTCACCTGACCCTTGAGCTACACCCAGAGTAGAGGACACCAGGAGGAGCTTCACCTCCTCTTGAAGGTTCTTACTGTCTCCAGCTTGGGCTGAAACACTGTTTTGAATCCTGAGAAAGAAAAACCCTGAGCTCTCATCCATATCTGACTGAAAGCAGCGTCTCCAGCTGCCATGGTCACGCTTAGCCAAGCACAGCAGATCCCATCCCTCTGGAGAGCACATGGTCTCAGGCTCCTCCAGTCTTTGCCAAGCGATCACTTAGAAACCGCAGGGGTAACAGCCACAAGGCAAAGCATCTTTGAGGCAACGCTAGACAACAGTTGCACAAGGAGAGAAGTCCATCCACGAGGTGGACGACTGCATGGAAGTGACATTTGGACCCCCAAATGAGCTCGGGACCCACTGCGATAGCTGTTGGGTGGACGTACACAGGGTGTTGCTCCTTCCTGCGGAGCCTGTAGTCTAAATAGACACAGGGAAGGAGAGAAACACAGAGAGGTGAACCACACAGCAGCCAAAACCCGAGTCTCAAAGTCACACACTGCCCATCAGCTCCCACCGAAGCCCACGTGCTGCTCGTAGTACAGAAACGCAATGCAAGAGCCCACCGCTGCAGCAGGACTCGTTTGCTCTGTCAGCTGAATAATTTGGCTGAAAAAACACCTTCTTTTAGAGCTGCTCAGCACGGCAGAGACACAGCAGAGCAAGCAGGGGTGGGTCTCCAGCACAGACCACACAACCCTGGCTGTGCCCTTCCATGCCCAGGGCTCCCACAGTGCCCGTGTCGAACGCACCCCCGGGCTGCGACGTGCTTTGTTCAGACCCAGCGTTTGGTTGTACAAGACCCTGTTCAGGAAAGCACTAATCCCATCTCCCCGGGTGCGCTTGCAGATCGAGGGGGCATTAGATGGCCTCGGGAACAGACTGAGACCTTACCCGTGAGCGCAGAGGTGCCACGTGCTGGACGATTTTGCTTGTGAAGCGAATCTGCCTTACGCCTGCCATGCACTGCGGACGTCCAGATGGGGCCCGAGGATGAGCTCGGTTACTTCTTGGGAAGTTCTGCATAGTCAAGGCTCTCCTTCACTTGGAGCAGCTCCTAAACACACACACACACACACACACAGCATGACCAGGGCAGGACAGCAACAAAATCTGTCTCTCAGGGGCTTTTAACGGAGGAATGAGAACATAAGCAGATACAGTACCTAGGCTGCACCCCGCTTTGGGAGTGGGCCCCGACAGTATGAATGGGAGGGGTTAAATAATGCTTAGAATCATAGAAACATAGAATCATTTAGGTTGGAAAAGACCTTTAAGATCATCCAGTCCAACCATTAACCTAACATGACCAAGTCCACCACTAAAGCAATTAAGGGTAGAGTAGTAATTTCATGTTTCCTGGCTCCGTGGCTGGCTTAAAAGGTTAATTTAAACACCGAAACACGCAGACACATGACAACTAACACAGCCAGCTTTCTTACAGACCAGCCTTCCAGCCTCAAACCTGCATTACATAGACAAGGGAGAAGACATGCTGTAGGTGGTCGCAAGCTGTGCATTTGCTGTCCAGCCTGACAAAAAATGAGATAAATATTGAACTCCTGCTTTTCCTCCGTGAGGACACTCATATATTTCCCTTGAGATTCCACAACGCCTTTAGGAACCAAATGCATGAAACAAGTGAACAAGTCCAGCGGGAGAGGACCGACGGGTAAGACAAGCTTGGTCACATCAGCTACGCTTCCTTAGCAGACTAGACCAAAGGTGACACGTTCAACAGTGCGTCTCAACATTTTACATCCCCCAAATTATCTTTGCCACTGTTCATTCAGTCACACAACCCCATATGCTACAAATACAGGATACAAAATTAGTGGCTCTGTCTTGGTATTGGTGTGCTACCCCAAAGCAACCAGGAACCTACACCAGCTGTTGGGTGGTCACTACAGGGTTGGAAAAAAACATCAAAAATAGGTTGTAGCAAGGAGTGTAAATGTTCCCTGACAATAATTTGCCAAATCTGGAAAGTCTCAGGCACTGAGGAAAGGGCTCACACAAATGGATCTCTCCATGTGTGCTCTGGAGGTCAGAGACCAAGGGAACTGCCACCAGAGGCTGGAAAGCTGCCTGTGGCTGGGAAGCTGCCTGCTGGAAAAGGACCTGTGGGTGTGGGTCGACAGAGGCTGAATATGAGCCAGAAGTGTGCCCAGGTGGCCAAGGCGGCCAATAGCATCCTGGCTTGTATCAGAAGTCGTGTGGCTTGCAGGACTAGGGAAGTGGTTGTCTCTGCACTCAGCACTGGTGAGACTGCACCTTGCATACTGCGTTCTGTTTTGGGCTCTTCACTACAAGAAAGACATTGGGATGCTGAAGCATGTCCAAAGAAGACCAACAAAGCTGGTGAAGGGTCTAGAGCACAGGTCTTATGAGGAGGGGCTGGGGGAATTGGTGTTGTTTAGCCTGGAGAAGAGGAGACTGAGTGAGACCTTATCGCTCTCTGTAACTACCTGAAAGCAGGTTGTAGAGAGGTGAGTGTCGGTCTCTTTTTCCCAAGTAACAAGAGATAGGACAAGAGGAAATGGCATCAAGTTGTGCCAGGGGAGGTTTAAATTGGATATTAGGAAAAATTTCTTCACTGAAAGGGTTATCAAGCATTGCAACAGGCTGCCTGGGGAAGGAGTTGAGTCCCCATCCCTGAAGGCAGGTGTGTAGATGTGGCACTTAGGACATGGTTTAGTGGTGGACTTGGCAGTGTTAGGTTAATGGTTGGTCTCGATGATCTTAAAGGTCTTTTCCAACCTAAATGATTCTATGATTCTAAGATGCTTGCAGGAGAGCATGATGGTTGCCTTGGCCTAGGCCACGTGGAGATGCAGCCAGTCCAAAAAGGTCACCAGCTGCACCTGCGCCTATGTTGCGACGGCACTGGGCTGCGATTCATAGTGCAACTGCAGAAAGCAACCCATCTCCATGGATGAAGGCACACTGCCTCTGCCTTCTGCCACCATGGAAGGTCACAACTTGACCAAAGCTCAGAAAACTGTGTAAGGCATTACAGGGATAAAACACAAAGAGAGTACACATCCTTGCACCCAGGCTTTGCTGGGTGAATCCCTTTGCTCCTCTGTCCAACATAGGCAGGGTGGGGAAATCCAGGGAAAGAAAGTGTCAAGAAAATCAAAGAAGGGGAGGTTTGATCCCAGCGTTACCCTGATATAACATGCTGAGGGTCCACCAAGACCAAGCACTCGTTCCAGGTTTCTTGCGTTAGACCTGCCTTTGAAACCTGATGCACTTTCCCTCCCCTTTTGTGACTCCTGCAGCTGCCCCCAGGATCATTAACATCACCGTCAGCTCCAACGGGGATCGCACCTTCCAGGCACGCTGCACCGCCGAGGGGGAGCCAGCGCCCGCTCTGACCTGGACCGGACCACCCTACAGCAACCTCACCTCCGTCACCAGCATGAACCACCGCGTCACCAAGGAGCTCCGGTACCTGACCCATGATGGAAAATACACCTGCACTGCTGTCAACAGCCACGGGAGAGCAGAGGGGGCTGTGTACTTCTATAAATTCAAAGCATCCAACAGCTCCTTCTTCCTGATCCTGATCTTTGTGCCGCTGGGAATTAAAGTGCTCATTTTGATGGTGATACTGGGCTTCACCATTTTCTCAAGAGGAGGTACGTGTCGCTATTTCCTCGGGAGCAATCCTCCATCAGACTGGCACCCAGCGATGGGATGTGGCAGATGAAGTCAGGCAGGAGGGGCTGGGCTGGCTTGGGTTTTTGGTTTTTTTTTTTTTAAATGATTTTACGATTTTCCACCCTAGGACATTTCTAATGGGAAATCTAAGAATAAGTAAAGAGGGACCTCCCGGCTGACTGGTCGCAGCCTGCAGGCGGGAGGTCTCCTTTGGGAAGGGACCTTTGAAAAGACAGAGGGAGGAGGAGTTTCCCTGCGCCTGAGGAGAAAGGTTAATAACCACCCTCCAGTGCAGCTTCCCAACAGCTCTAGGTCAGTCCTGGCTCCCCAGCTCACTCCGACCATATTGCTAACCCGTGTCTTCCTTCCCACTTCACAGGTCCCTCCTCTGCCCCATCCAGCCTGGCCCGGTAAGGACATTCTGCCTTCTGCTCGTGTTATCCAGCAGGAGGGTGGAGATGGCTAAAGAGAGAAATGCAAGGTGTCCTTGGTCTTGACAACAACCTTCCAGCCTGAGAGCAGGCTCCTGGGACAAGGACGGGGTTGGGCTGATGGCCAGGCAAGCCAGCGTGAGGGACCAAGGCTTGGGCACTGCTGGGAGATGGTTCTGGCTTGGGTACAGCTGAGAAGAGACCCCACTGACGTGAGGACGAGAGACTGGGGCAGCAGATTGGAGAGACCATGGCACATGGTTGCTGCAGCAGCAAGGGGCTAGCAGAAGTTTAGGTAGGAGAGCATGGTAGGAAGCCACATTAAACTAGCAAAAGAAGCACCCAGAGGGGAACAGGCTGGGAAGGCATCTGTGGCAGGTTGATGAATCATAGAATCGCTTAGGTTGGAAAAGACCTTTAAGATCATCCAGTCCAACCATTAACCTAACACTACCAAGTCCACCACTAAACCAATTAAGGGCAGAGTAATAATTATTTCATGTTTCCTGGCTTGGTGGCTGGATTATTTTTTAATGAAAGTAAAAACTAGGAATCATTAAGGTTGGAAAGGATCTCTAAGATCATCAGTCCAACCATCAACCCAAGACCAGCATGCCCACTAAACCATGTCCCAAAGTGCCACATCTGCCCATTCTTTGAACCCTTCCAGGGATGGTGACTCCACCACCTCTCTGGGCAGCCTGTTCCAATGCTTGACTACCCTTTCAGCCATGAAGAAATTTTTCCTAATATCCAATCTAAATGAATGATGAACAAGAGAGGGAAACTGTGCAACAGAAGCTTTCTTCCCCCCTGCACCCCAGTCTCTAATGGGGTAGAAAAAGGGGCCATGTCAAAGCTGATGAGCTCTGCCAAGTGTAGAAGAAGGTATGGAGACGCCAAACAGCCCACCTCAGAGCCAGCTCACATGTGGCAGGGCCCGATTCTTTAGCTGGTATCCATACGATGCTCCCACTGTACTGTCGTGGTTCAGCCCCAGCCAGCAGCTCAGCACCACGCAGCCGCTCCCTCACTCCCCCTGCCCTGATGGGATGGGGGAGGGAATCGGAGGGGTAAGAGTGAGAAACACT